CCCCCCATTTTCCCGTCGCCACCTTGTCCTGATTTTTACGTCATAAAATCCCGCCATTTATCAGAGCAGATTATTTTCAAATATCACGCAACCGTTACTCTTTTCAGATCAACACACGTACCGAAGAGAGAAGGTAAACGACAATAAGAACGAGAAAAGAGAGAGAGAGAAAAAAAGAGAGAAGACAGCAAATCAGAAACTATATAAGAATAAAACCCCCAAAACAGAGAAACGTAAGTGAAGAAAAATAAAAGAAAAAGAAAAAAACGGGTTAAGAAAGAATAAACGAAAGGAGAACAACCCCGAAAAAAGAGAACAGAAGAACAACCCCGAAAAGAAAAGAGAAAAGAAGAAAGAGAACAGAAACATAACAAAGAAAGATAAATCTGACAGTAACACACTTAGAGAAAACGTAAACAAACAGATACCCCCCCCCCAAAAAAAAAAAAAAATGGCGGACCGTAGTCTCGTCAACGGCTTAAACGGCGAAGCGAAACGCAAGAGAAAGGCGGCCGCTGAAGCCCAGAACGGAACTCCCGCAGAAGGTCAGCTGCTGCAGAAGGTTCTCGACCTCGTGGGGCGCGAGCATCTCATCTCGTGCCCGGCGGAGGCCAAGATCGTCGAGTTCAAGCATCCGAAGGAATTAGAGGTAACAAGAGATTTAGAATTAGAGATTTAGCATTAGAAATTCGGATTTAGAAATTTAGAGTTAGAGACTTGGAATATCTTAGAATTAGAGACATGGAATTAGAAATTTAGAGTTAGAGACTTGAAATGAGTAACAGAATTAGAGACATGGAATTAGAAATTTAGAGTTAGAGACTTGAAAAGAGTAACTTAGAATTAGAGACATGGAATTAGAAATTTAGAATCAGAGATTTGGAATTAAAGATTAAGAATTAGAGAACTGGAATTAGAGATTTAGAATGTGAGATCTAGAATTAGAGACTTGGATTTAAAGCTCTAGAATTAGATATTTAGAATTAGAGACTTGGATTTAATTATTTAGAATTAGAGACGAATTTAAAGAATTAGAATTAGACGGATTTAAAGATTTAGAATTAGAGAAATAGAATTAGAGATTTAGAATTAGAGACTTGGTATTACAGATTTACTATAAGAGACGGAATTAGAACTCTAGAATTAGAGACTTAGGATAAAAGGTTAAGAATTAGAGATTTAGAACAAATGATTGCAAGTTAAGAGACGGAGGATTGTATCAAGAAGTTTGATGATAAGATAAGATATACTTCAGAAATTTACTTAGATTGTACGTTATGTGCAATTTATATAC